GGCTCTGTAGCTGTCCTTCCGTATTAAGCAAGCGCACTTCTGAGTGGGTATTGTTGCTAGGCGGCTCGGCAAATCGTGGTGACCGGGGCGACTGAATGTTAAGCGGTGTGGAGGGCGGGTTATTAGGAGACGAGATTACAGAACCAAGCATAGGGAAAATCGTGTAGAAAAAGTCGTTAGGAATATCGCGCCCGTAATTCGCCATGCTGGGAACGCAAACCGGGCAAATGTACCGCAAGACCGTCTGTGGATGCGAGCGAGAGAATTCGATGTCAGTTGCATGGAGCGAATTATCACAGGGAGCGTGAACACGAGCATGTGATGGCTTTGGAACGAGGTCCTACACGCTGAGTGCAAATCGAGCAGGTGTTCAGTGGCCGTATGGGCGAGACCGAAATGATCGGCATGGTCACAGGTTCATAGGATTGTACAGAGCAGAAGGAGAAATCCTTTGTCAGCTCCATCGCTTCCCGATCATTGTGTGGAGGCCGCGATTCGATGTTAAACGGTAATCCACAAGGGACCGTGACAGCTACACTGGAAGCTGCAAGGGCCCATCGTATACAAAAGATAAGAATCTAACATCCGCTTGAAACATTCCTCTGTCTGGGCAACAACCACATGCTTCGATAAGTCGTTCCAATCGTTTACTACGCGAGTTGATTGAGTGAGAGCAGGATGGACCCGGAGTCTTCTGGGCTTAAACAGTTTCCAGTTGCGGCCTCGAATTGAACTGTTTACATTGAATTGAGAGCATGCCTGCAGCTCCGTCCCCATCTCTCCTCTCAGGATGCGTCTGGTGAAAATCAGGTCGCCGCGACGGCGATAATCCAGGGAGAACAGGTTCATGCGCTGAAGTCTCAGAGGATAAGGCAAGTCCCGTAACTCCAAGATGTGTTTCGATCCACGCCGTTAGACCTTCTCAATGAGGTCACATTCGAACTTGGTGAGAGGGAAGACGGCAGGCAATCCGTATTCGAGAATGGGGCGCACATGGGAAGTAAACAATAGTCGGAAGATCTCCGGACTCAAACGCGAGAAGGTTCTTCGTATGGCATGGGACATTCTGTTGGCAGCAGCAACCCTTCGTAACGTGTCCTGTGTAGTCCGTAGATCAGATGACGCCAACACGCCGAGGTCTTTTTCAAGGATTGAGTTTCTGAGCAACGCCCCACCAATATGGTACGTGCCGAAAGGCTCAGGAGCACCAATGGGAAGGACCGAGCACTTATCGCGATTTATCGGCAATCGCCAATTGAGTGACCACGCATGTAACGTAGCAAGTGTAGCCTGTAATCGGTCCGCATCGTCAAGACAAGATACCTCCATCCACAATTTCAAGTCGTCAGCGTAAATCAAGCAATCCAACTCAAGTTCCGCCGGGAGATCACTGATGAAGATCTTGAAAAGTTCTGGGCCCAGGACTGATCCCTGAGGGACACCACCAGTCATGAGCACAGGAGCGGAGTAAGTCTCGTTCATGTCGATCCTCATTGTCCGGTCATGCAAAAAATCAGTGATCCAAGAGAGAACGTTCCCAGAAACACCGAATAATCGGAGTTTATAAAGGAGTCTTTCATGAGGATCCTTGTCAAAAGCCTTGCTGAAGTCGACAAAAATAACATCCAGACGTTTCCCAGCATCTAATGATTTCGCCCATCTTTCACGGGCCACAAGCAGATTGGAAGAACATGAGTGCGCCCGCCGAAAACCATGCTGCGCACAAAAGATGACGTTTAGGGTCTCGAGGTGGAGAAGAAGTGCCTGCTTGAGAATCATCTCCATTACCTTGCACAAAATTGACGTTAAACAGATGGGTCGATAATCGGCAGGATTTTGACGATCCCATCCTTTGTGTATGGGTTTAACAATCCCCACTTTCCAAGCAATCAGGAGCCGTCCAACTTCAAGAGAATGCCGAAATACCCGGCAAACAGGAGCGGCAATGTAATCGGCCACAGTCTTGAGGAACAGCGGATGCAACCCATCAGGACTCGGCGAGGAGTTCGGATCTAATTCACGAATGCCTTTGGCAACAACATTAGCGCTGATTTCTACATGCTCCAACGAAGAAGGGAGTATTAACATCGCGTCACTGGGAAATGGCGTCTCTATCGAGTAAACAGACGAATATTGCATGGCAAAGAGACTGGCTTTCGCAGCGTCATCGTCAAGTAAACCCACATGCGCCAAGGAATACAAAGCAGGTATACCACTTTCTGCTCTAGTACTTCTCTTCAGGTAAGAGAAGAGTGCCTTGGGAATTGTCTTGGATTGCACAGCCAAACCGAGTTCGTACTTTTGCCGTCACTCTCGTTTTTGCAAGTTGCAGATATTCCTGGCCACTTTATATTTCGAATAGTCAGACTCGGATTGCGTGAGCTTGATTCGGACCCACAGTTTCCGTCGTTTGTTCATTAGGCCCCTCAGTTCTCGATCAATCCATAGAGGATCTCTGGCGAAGGCCTTTTGTAGACATGAACGACCTGCTCAATGAGCGAAATCATTTTGGAGTACAAGAGGTTCCACTCATCGTTCAGATCCAGAGGTTCAGGTATACTCCAGTCCACAGTACTGGCGGCCGTTTGTAGGCGTTGGGGATCAACACGCCAGAAATTTCTGCGGAGGCAACCTTGGTTGTGGTGAGTAAGTCGTGGAGTCCAGAGGTATGAAACCACACACTGATCGCTTTTACCAATGGGCTGAAGAATGGTTAGGCCGGTGACATCTGATTGTGCCGGTGAGAGTACAAGGTCAAGAATAGGGGGTGTGTCTAGCAATTATACGAGTAGGCGTTGTGACATGTTGGAATAAGTTACATTCGATAACCGTCTCTAAAAGAGCAAAATCAAAAGCGCTTGAAGAGGGAACACAATGAAGTTGGTCTCAGTCGATACTCGGGGCATTGAAGTCATCCAGTAATAAGCAGTCCTTGTCTCCACCATGCATTTTGATCGCGTCCAGCAGGAAAGCTCCGGAACCCAATGGGGCCCTGTAGACAACACCGATCATGAGAGATCTGCATCCGTCATGAACACGGCACCAGATAATTTCGAAGTCGCCATCGCTGCCACAGGTAGCTTCAACCAGATGAGCCTTAAAGTCCGTCTTCCAATAGAGTATCACACCGCCCCCAGGTCTTTCTTCATGGCGGTCTGCCGTGTAAAGGTGGTATCCAGGGATCTGCACCTCCGAGTCCAAGATATCCGAGGACAACCAGATTTCGGTGAAAGCTATAAGATCCGGCCGATTCATGGAGGCAAGAAGCTGAACTTCGTCTAGTTTGTTTCTGAGACTGTGCACATTGGAAGAAATTACGCGCAGTCCGTTCTTCAACTCTAACGCCGGGTATTACAAGGAGTGGTCTCCAGCGAGTTCTTGGCGTTTTGCGAAGCACACGAAAATCTACGATATGAAGGTCCGTCTCATCGTTATCAAGACGAGATCTGAGTTCGTCAACCGCTTCCTTCATTTGTACTCGATCCGCCGGAGAGAGGTCTCGTAGTACGAAAAATGGTTCTCCTTTAAGACGCGGAGCTCGTCGGAGAATGCGATGGACTTCATCATTTTGACATACAATCTTCAAGGGACGGACCATAGAGGAGTCCTCCTGTTTCTTGCCAAGGCGGAAAGCCTATACAATGTTGATTCCTGGCTCACCATTGTCAAACAGTAAGGAGATCATCCGTTTTAGAAGCTCCTGATCAGCTATAATCCTTTCAGCTGGAATGGTTTTGGACGACTCAGGAGCATTTATGATGATTAGACAACGGCCACGAGAGCGAAATTTGTTGTTATCGGGGATCTGCGGTTTGTGGGAGGTGGACCTTCCTTAAGCAGTTTTTCCAGCTGACCGACTCTAGCCAGAACTAGCTTCAACTGCGATTGTGAAGACAACAGTTTGCGTTTCGCCTTGACATTCGTCTTGTCCTTACTTTCAGCCACTCGTACTGGCGAGGGAAGTGGCACACAATCCTTCGCTACGGATGCATAAGTCTTGGTATTTGGGGTTTTACCGTGGTCAACAACCGTCGGCTTACCAGTGGGGGTAATCGGACCAGAAGCTAGTGACGAGAAGCATGGGGATGCCAAGGAGGCAATATCGCTGACTGCTTAGGCTTGAACAGAAGAGAAACGCGGGTTCGGTGCAGGCAGTCCATCAGGCAGTGCAGTGTCGGTACCTGCCTTCTTCGCTGGAGTCCGACCGGCCAGGATATACTTGTCGTTGGGGAGCAGCGGAGGATCCTTCTGCTTTTGCACAGAATGCAAACATGAGGGACTTGGACTGATTGGAGGTAGGCTATTCGAAACGCGACTGACACTCAGTCCAGCGCGACATTGGTCACAAATAAAGACGAGGATTGAGGAAGTGGTCCTCTGCAGTGGATCGTACAGATCTGCGCCGATTTTACAACATGCAATGTGCAGCCACCATTAGCAGAAGGAACACTGAACAGCCTTCGACCGAGAAGTGACAGCCTTACAGCAATCCAAGCATATGGAAGACATTGTATACTATACACAATAACTTCAGAATGAATCTTCAAGACAGTAATGAAACACAAAGAAGCTCGCTATCGGCAGGTCAAACGGATGACATAAATATCTGCAAAGTAACGTAGTTGAGTACCTGTCTCAGGAGAACAGAACGCACAGGAGGGCGCTATCCGCACAAAAGGGCCTGCATATTGTAGTGATATTGTACTGATTCGCTCGGAAGCAAGTACAATTTTTGTGATACCAGCGGGAGCAAACATCACACTGCATACCACCAGATGAATCCGTAACTGGCCTTGAACAGGCAGAATTGCCGCAAGCTGAATTTGACTCTTCTAACGAGGACGCAAGGGATTCATCCGCCTCGGTTGTTATCGAGCCGACCATGTTTAAGTGGAAAACAGCAACATTGTAAAGCATGTATACAACCGTAAACGACCACAGTAAAAAGGCAAAACGGAGGTGTAAAACGGGATTAAAAAGGAAACAACCGCAAAAATTACCAGTAAGCGTCAAGGGGATACCATGTCCAGTACCACTTTAATCGATCCAAGATATTTTGGATCGGAGGAAATTTGACCGGAGAGTCGCATCCGCCAATCGCGATCAAGTTCAAGTTCAAGCGGGACTGGAACGATAGGATTATCCCGTGAGTGTTCCTTCTTCGGCGGGTCATTGAACCAGGAGTTGGCGAACTTTGAAATACTGATGGACATAAAACAAAGACCGCATCACACCCTGTCCAACCAATTAATGCCCACGTATCCTGCCCTAGCAGTCCCTGCTGGGTCGGTTACGTGAAGTAAGGGAAAAAAGTAAACTCAGAAAGCAAAAGAGAAAGTGGAGGGAGGTAAGCAAGTGGAATACCAAGATATTTGAGTCATTAAAAAGAACTGAAAAGTGAAGGTGAGTCAGCTAGGAAAAAGGGAAGGTTTGCTGTTGCCACCCAAGAGCATTGAGCTAGCGCGCAAAACCCTTAACCGTAGGTTCCCTAACTACATGATCTGGAAGCGAATTCCAGCGATCTATAACTCGGCGCGATAGACGAGTTTCCGTCCTAATCCTATCAGACAGTGGTTTATGCAGTTTCAGTGGGTGACCGCGGAGATTAGGTAACGTAGCGGGACTAAATAGCCCTGACAAGTCCGGGCCAATCTTACCCGTCAAAATACGATAAGTGAGAATCAGGTCCCCTCTTATCCTTCGGTAGTGCATTGAGTACATCCCCAAACTGAGCAAGCGTTCAGGATCCGTCTGTCCCCGTAGACCCTGCACTAACCGAGTGCCCACTCGTAACACCCTCTCCAAGTCCATTTTGTCTCGGTTAAGACAAGGTGGCCAGGCCTGAATACAATATTCCAGGTGGGGTCGGACGAATGCCGAAAATAGCTTCACAAACAACTTGGCCGTTAAGATTCCGAAAGAGCGGAGGATAAACCACATCATACGAAACCCTCGACAAGCAGCCTTCTTCCAGTTGTCTCCAGAATGAAGTGCTGATGCGTGTACGACTCCTAAATCAACCTGCTGAGTGACAACAGGGAGTTCACCACCGCCGACAACATATCGGGTGGGAGGATTTGCAGCTCCGATTCGGAGAACAGAGCACTTGGCCCTATTTATGGGCATCAACCATAAGGTAGACCATTCCCAGAGCCTATCCAAGGCATGCTGAATTGCCTCAGGACCCCCCGGGATATCCACAATATTTCAGAGCTTAAGGTAGCCAGCAAACATTAGTGATGACACCCCTAGCTCTCCTGGCAAGTCGCTTACATAGATCGCGAACAACAATGGCCCCAATACCCAGCCCTGCGGGACGCCACTAAGGACAGCTTGCTTGAGCGAAAGGCCACGCCCCACCCGTAGGCACTGTTTCCTCCCCTTAAGGAAGGCAGATACCCATTGAAGGGCGCGACCAGATATCCCGTAAGATCACAACTTTAGTGAGAGCCAAAGATGTGGAACAGTGGCAAAAACTTTCGAAAAATCTACGAATAGCACGTCTACAGCGTGGCCACTGTCTACCGCTTCGGCCCAGCTTTCACGAGCTACAAGCAGATTAGTCTGACATGAAAATCCTTTGCGGAATCCATGTTGCGCAACACTGAGAAGGTTGAATCGATTCAGGTGGTTCTCCACTGAATCCCTTATCAGCTTTTCATAAAACTTGACTACTACGCTTGTCAAACTGACAGGCACGTAGTTCGCGGGTAGGGCGCTGTCACCGCCCTTCAAAATCGGATAGATGATTGCCTCCTTCCATTCCGAAGGTAGGATGCAGCTGTCCAGCGATATTGAAAACACGCATGTGAGCGGACCACTCAGCTCAGTGGCCAATTCATGCAACAGCTTCGGATGAAGTGAATCAGGACCGGAAGCTTTAGAGGGATTATTGCCTTGCAGTAGCTCGAAGACCTGAGTCTCCGTTATGCTAAATTCAGCTAAGCAAGAATCCTCTGGAGCTCTTAAAACCAATTCAACCTGTGGTAAAGAGGTCTCCCGAGCAAAGACCACGGTATACTGATCACTCTGTATACAAGCCTTGTCATAGTCAGTTTGCGCACGGGTCCCGTCTGCTCGCAATAAAGCTGGTATAGACAGTTTTGCCCCGCTGGGTCTTCTAACGTAAGCAAAAAACTTCTTGGGATTAGCTGCGGCCCAGTCCGCTAAATCCTGCTCGTACTGGAGACGAGCAGTTCTGAGAAGTTGCTTACATTTATTTCTAATCTCTCAATAACGATCATAGGTGCCGGCTGATGGAGCTGCTTGGAAGGTTCGCCAGCATCTAGACCGTTTCTTGAGTAGGTACTTGCCTGTGGTATCTATCCATGGAGGCTGTGCCCTTAACCCTCTTTTCCTAATGAGTGAAATATAGGGAGTGGAAACCCCCGTAAGGTATGCCTTAAATTTATCCCAGGCTAACTGGACAGAGTCAACCATCGAGATCTCATAGTTCAGAACTGATGCCTTAGCTCGCATTGCACTAAAGTCCGCCTGCCAAATATTCGGAAATAATTCAACAGCGGTCTCTTGGTGCCTTGAAAGTGCACATCGAAAGGATATGCATGCGTGATCGCTGGACCCTAGAGGTGCACCGTATGGAACGTCAGTCACGAAGTCCAGGGACAGCGAAAACCAAATCCAAAGTAGATGGTATTTGGTTGTCCATATACCTAGTGGGAAAGTCAACGAACTGGTGCAAAGGCACTTGGGGAGTCAGTTCAAGGAAGTCTGCACCGAATGTTCCTAATGTCGAATTGCAAGAAAGATCGGCCCAACAGACATCCGGGAGGTTGAAATCCCCTAGAACTAAACACTTGTTCGCAGACTGAGTGCGAATGAAGTCAAGTATCCCCCTGGAAGAACTTCCAGGACTTTTGTATAAAACTATAACTGCAAACTGGGTAGAGGAAGTGCACAAAACAGCCGATAGGGCTTCAACAGTCTGATCCGACGACCGGAATGTGCAGGTCCTCAACACATCTAAGTTACAGCTCACATACAGTACAACGCCCCCGCCTTGGTGACCAACGGAGCGATCAGTTCTAAGCAGCGCGTAGCCAGGTAGATACAACTCACCGTCCGTGATATCCGGAGACAACCACGTTTCAGTGAAAGCAAGTATGTCGGGACGATATTTGTCTACAAGTAGACCCAACTCGTGCACCTTGTTCCTTAGGCTACGCACGTTGCTAAGTACTAACTCAAGGAAGTCGGCACGACCATCCCTGGGTCGTGCGCCATCAGGATGAGTTCTGATAGGGCTGAAAGTAACTTCCGGCTGACCACCTGAAAACCCACCAGTTGGAGGCCTTGATCACCAGCCGCCCGTCTAGTTTTGAGGTCTTTGATAGCCTCCTTTAACTTCAATCTATCTGCCAGTGGTAGGTCCGGCTGAACGCTGACACCACTACCCCTAAGTTTGAACGCAAACCGCAGTAATGATTTGCGTTCCTCCGGGGTAGAAAGGACCACGCGAAGTAGTCGGGGTAGTGGATTTGGCGTAGTGATAGGGACGTTCCCCAATCTGGTCAGCTTTCTGACAGTGACACCAGGGAAGCCAGGTGGATGCAGCTTGCTGACACAGTTTCAGCCACTTGATGTCATCCACGATGCGTTCCCTGATATGGTCGCACCAGATAGACGCAATCGCGATGGTTCACACCGACTCCTGACTGAGAGGCCAAGGTATTGAGAGAACACGCGACACTGGCAAGTAGTATATGTATTGAGCACACAAAACCCCAAGGGCCAAAAATGCCAATAGCACAAACTAAGCGGGTCCGTGATAATCGAAACAGGTGCAATTTTATAGGAGGTGTGTGTTTCACAAGTGTTTCATGTTGTGTGGGCCAAAAGGACAATAACAATGTTCTGTTGCATAAAACAAAAACACTGTTCTGGTTTTGGGCGAAAAACATGCCAACCCTGTAATTCACATGTAGCTATTTGGTGCACACAAATCGAAACATGTTTGATTCCGTGTTCTGGTTGCACGTACAAGTTCGAACACAATTCTGTGGCACAGTCTGGTTTCGACTATCCAAAACCCCTGGGTCTTATTCGGGTTAGGTTTTGGTTCTAACCCTAACATCTCCCTCCTTGAAGATGTCAATCGTAAGAACGCTTCCAAGGGTTTACCTGCAAAGGTGTCGTAGTTTTGCGAGCGCGGTCTGCCTGGCGTCTTTGTTGGGTTGTCTCTGGTGGAGACTTCGTTGCCTCTGAGTTTTCTATGGACCGTGGGATGTTAAATGTGTCAACTAGCATGTCAAGAGGCAGGCTGTGACTCTCTTCATCGGGTATGCACCTAGTTGGTCGCAGCTGGTTCACATGACGAATCCATAATTGTGATCCAACTCGCACCTCGTAAATAACTTTGCCCCGCCTACCAGTGATCATTCCTTTTGTCCAATTTGGATGACCAATGCGATAGTCGCATGCGAGGACTAGTTGACCATGGGTGAACGCACGTTGTCTTGTCCCTCGATGTTTAGATGACTGTTGTCCCATGGTAGATTTCTGTTCCTTAGCCGAAACTTCTATTGCGGACCGAAGGGCATCAAAAGGAGTTCGTAGCTTACGATTCATCAAAGCCTCGGCCGGAGAAAATCCATTCGGCGTTTGGGCGTTCGAAGTGACCCGATATAAGAACAAAAATCGTTCACGGATTTCCTGTGTCGTTCCCTCCCCTGCTGATTTCAAGAGGGCGCGCTTAAAAGTGTCCACGAAGCGTTCTGCTTGGCCGTTGGATTGCGGGTGAAACGGCGGTGTTCTGATGTGATTGATTGCACAATTTTTACAAAAGTTGGAGAAACATGCTGAAGTGAATTGTGTACCATTATCACCCACCAGGTTTCTGGGTAGCCAAACCGGCTGAATAATTGTCTTACTTTCGAAACAGTGGCTCCAGCTGTTGTGTTTTGCATCAGAAACACCCCGGGCCATTTGGTGTATGAGTCGACAACTACTAGAAATTAACGGGTTCGGCAAAATCTACATGCACACGAGTCCAT